TCTTAGCATGGTTTGGTGTTAAAGCTCGATACAGTTCCAAAATGCCAGATGACATTGAGACATAAACAGTACAATTCAAGAATGCACAAATTCCCATTAGAATTTAATGAACTTTGATTCTAAAGCCACTATTGTCATGGAAACCAAGATTTTTTTTAATAATTACTTTTAAGAGCAATTACCTTTATGAACTCTAGGAGTATAAGCCTCTCAGAGCTCTGTTTCTTAAGTTTAAGTTCCTGTTCTTGAATAGAATCATGTATGCAACTGCCTTTCATTTCCTTTTTTCTTCCACTATACATATATTTACTTTGTTAGATTTGTACAATTTTTTTGTAACTTTGTGGGTGTGTACATATATATATTTAATGCAACTGCCTTTTCTTAATGCACGTTTTATGATTGTAGATGAACTGAAAAGCAAAATTGAGTGTGAATCCATCAAAGATTATTTTATACTATTTCTATTGTAGGTTTTATGTTTGGAAGTCCTCTCTTAATCAATACTTCAGGTAATAATATGTTAGGATTAAATGCAGAGGATCGTACATTTCCTTTACCCTCACCTAAAAAATACAATTTATTCATAAATTGTCAATATGGTTGTCCACAAAAGTTGTCTTTAGTGGGAAAGTGAGTTTTTATTGTACATGAGGTGATTGTGGCTTTAATCACATAATCTGATACATACAGGAACACTTCTCAGGAAGGCATTTGCTAAGTGCTCTGATGGCCTGAACTGACATTGAAATTACAGAGACTCTTAGATCTGTGCCAGTGCCCTTGCCAAGGGCATCTGATGTCCTTTGGATGTTGACCAAGGGACCTTGTACCAATAGATAAAATAAATTTACAAGACTATTTCAGAGAAAGGACCTCATGGTAGACTCATTCTCACAGTGATTTGACATGTTCCTGGTTCCATCTAAAGTCTCTGTTGCAATAATCACAGCTCTGTGATAACTATTTACAACCCACACATTGCCAGACATTACTGTCTCTAAGTCTACATGTGCTTCTTTTGGATTTAAATAATTTGTGGAATTTATCCAACTGTCTGGGAAATGCTGCGAACCTTGTCATCGACAAGCAAAACAAGAAACTAAAATGATGATGCTGGCTATGGATGTTATATTGTCAATTGGAGGAATTAGCTGGCTTCTAGTGAATAAAATAATTAATTTCACTTAATTAAGTGGAATCTACAGACATGTCTTATCTTTTCTCAATTGTATCACCCATGTTTTTACTTCTCTGTTGTTTCCTCATTGCCTAGCGCCATAAACAATTGGTAAATATTTTTGAATAAATGAATATGTTGAAGATATACTTTTTAATTAAAGTACAGTTAGCATACAATATTATATTAATTTCAGTTGTAAATCATAATGGTTCAACATTTAAATATATTACAGAATAATCATCCTGATAAATCTAGTAACCTCCTGTTCTATACAAAATTATTAGAGTATTACTGACTATATTCCTTTTGCTATATATTACATCCTTGTGACATTTATTTTATAAGGAAATTTTTGCTATATATTACACCCTGGTGACTTATTTATTTTATAGGGAAGTTTGTACTCTTAATCCCCTTTATTTATTTTACTCCGCTCCCTCCCCTTCCCCCTCTACCAACCACTAGTTTGTCCTTTGTGTCTATGCTTTTGTTTATGTCTTGCTTTGTTTATTTTTTAAATTTCATTTATGAGTGAAATCATATGGTATTTTTCTTTCTTTCTGACTAATTTCACTTAGCATAATATCCTCTAGGTCCATTCATGTTGCAGATGGCAAGATTTCACTCTTTTTTATGGCAGAGTAATAGTCTATTGTACATGTATCCATTTGTCTATTGATGGGCCCTCAGGTTGCTTCCATATCTTGACTATTATAAACAATGTTGAATTGAACATAGAAGTCCATGTGTCTTTTTGACTTAGTGTTTTTCATGTTTTTTGGATAAATACCAAGAGGTAGAACTGCTGAATTGTATGGTAGTTCTGTTTTTAATTTTTTGAGGAATTGCCGTATTGTTTTCCAGATTGGATGCAGAAGCATATATTAGAGTGTAACTGTTTTATATTAAGCCTGGCATTTCAGAGATTTATAAAATCCTAAGACAATGCCTATCTTCTCACTAAATCTTTGTTTTGGAAAACATAATTCTTTTTCATAAAAATGTGTTAACACTTATTGTTATTTTTATGTGAATAAATCAAAACATTTGAAAGTTAGAAATTCAACCAAAAATTTAAGTATCAATAGTTGTAACTCACATTCCGATGTTCCTGGATGTCTGCAATATTTTTTGAGACTGTAAATTGTTTTTGAGATAAAAAATTTGAGAGTTGCTGGCTCAGAGAAGGGAAATATATATTTGTGTTTGTGTGTATGCTCAGTCACTCAGTTGTGTCCCACTCTTTGTGACCCTATGACTAGCCCGCCAGGCCCCTCTGTCCATGGGATTTCCCAGGCAAGAATACTGGAGTGGGTTGTCATGTCCTCCTCTGGGAATCTTCCCGACACAGGGATTGAACCTTTGTCTCCTGCATTGGGAGGCAGTTTCTTTACCACTGAACCACCCGGGAAGCCCATATTTGTGTGTACAATGCAATAACCAATTGTAATTTAAAGCAGAAAAAAAGTAAAATATCTAAAAATAGCCTTATAGGTCTATGTGAAGTATAATAAAAAATGCTGTTATTTCAGAATATGAAAGGAGATTCAGAAATTGAAGATTCACACCATGTTGTTTGATAGGAAGTTTCACTATCCTAGTGGTATTCATTTTCCTTACTTAATTTATAGATTACACACATATCTAAACAGCAAAAATACTTTAAACCTGTGAAAATGAAAATTGCTATAAAATTTAACTAAATAATTCTAAAGTTTATGTGAGGATAATAGGTTAGTAGCTGCAAAAAATATTTTTCAAAGGAGGATTATCAGGAAGACCTGCTTATCTGATATTATATTTATAGTAGAGAGTCAGATAAAGAAAATCAGTGATCTCACAGCTAGCTTCATTGTGTGCTATGCATATATGTGTACATATGTATATTCATGTGCATTTAGTATATGTTAAAGGAAACATTAGCACTCAACTTCGCTCGCAATAAAGGACACATAAATGTAAACAATTCCTATCAGTTCGGTTAAGATGGGTTATTAATATTAGAGGTAAATTGCATTTGTAAATTGCTGTGGGGGAAATTGTAAATTGCTGTGGGGGAAATTATAAATTGTAACTGCCTTCTTGGATAGCTACTTGCTACTATACATCAAGTGCTTTAAAATATTCATAATCTTCAATGTGGCAAATTTATTTCTAGTAATCTCTTCCGCAAAAATATTCAGAAATGAAAACATATTTATACACAAATATGTTCATAGCAGCAGTTTTTATGATAAGACAAGTTATAATAAGACAAATTTTAGAACAGCATTATGTCTACATATTGGGCAATGATTAAGTAAATATGATAATTGCAAGGAAAACCACATGTAGAATAATATTAAATAAAAATAGAGAATACATTTCATATAGTGCATAAGTCTGGTTATGTATGTATGAATGCCTGGAGTAGACACCTTAATACATTAACTGTAGTTGTCTTTCAATTCTGGAATTATGAATAATTTGTATTATCTTCTTTATTCCTTTTTGTATTTTCCTAAACTTTTTAAGCAATGAATACATACTGTTGTTAAAGTAAATAAAAGCTTACAATTCAATTAACTATTGAAGTTTCAACCTATAGATTAAGACAAGTCAAACAAGTGAAATTTTATATTGCATTTCAGCTCGAGATTACCTGCTCTTTTACATCTGACAGTAAGTTCTTTGGGTAGCACGTCCATTTTCCCAGTGTAGTTTTTGTCCATTTGCCAATAAACTGTGTGACTTTAAACAAGTCAGTTTACCTCTCTAGGTCTTTAATTTCCTTGCCTATCAAATGAAGTTCCTTCCAATTTTAAAATCTGGAAATTACATGATAAATATTTAAAAACTATATTTCCAACAGAAACATCTTTTGCCACAATCTATATGTATCTCTTTCACTATACATTTTCTCCTTATTCTCTTCTGTGTTTGTGTGTCTGGAACTCTGTCTTCCCTCCCTAACATCTGATGATTGAGAAGGGATTATGATACCATCTTTCTGTTCGTCTCCCAGTATTACTACTCAAGGCAGCATCTAGATTCCAGTGTTCCTGTATGAATATTGTTGACTGTCATTTACAAGTCGTTGGTGATGTACACTGTCATAGAATTTATAAAAATCTGTAGAGATTCTAAGAATCTCGATATCAATGGATTGACTTAAGCTTGATGGTGAAGGGCAATTGCCTGTTCCTTGTCATCTTAGCCTGTTTTGTTGGACCTTACTGATTTTATCATGAGTTTGAGCTAACTCCGGGAGATGGTGAAGGACAGGGAAGCCTGGTGCACTGTAGTCCGTGCGGTCGCAGTGTCGGACACGACGTAGCGATTGAATAACAACTGATTTTATACTCTATACTGTTGTACACAATCCAGGATTGATACTTATATTTACCACTCAAAATGACTAGCATTTTGGAAAAACTTGGTTTTTTTTTTGGATGAAGCTATTATATACTACTTAAATTGTAGTTGGCAATCTGATATTTTTAACTCGGTGGTGCTTATTAAACTTATTGCTGTATTTAGTTGTTAATTCAAATAAATTGCTAACAATGGTACTGGATGACATTATGAATGCATATCATAACACTATATGATAAACTTTATGCAGATCCATTCTCTTGATATCAAAGAAACTTTTCTTATAATTTAATGTATTAAATTCTTTAGTGTAAAGTTTTAATCTATAGTGTATACTTTAAATGGAAGAGTAGACCTTAGAGTTGATGCTCTTTGACTAATTGGTTGTCTGGGGGGGAATATATGCTGTTTGATGCCTCCATGTGATTCATGTGTACTGATAAATTTCTTTTTAAACTTGCAGCAAATAGTGGCAGCAATAAATGCAGGGATTATACCTTTAGGAAACACCTCCAATCAAATCAGTCACTGGGATTTGGGAAGTTCCTTCTTCTTTGCTGGCACTGTTATTACAACCATAGGTAGGAGACAACTTATTTTGTTGTTTAATTTTGGTACAGCTTGTGAGTTAAAATTCATTTGTTTGAAATTTTTTTTACAGTTGGTCAAAATGGTCCTCTCAAGGTAGAAAACTAGAGTCTAGTAAATTGATTCTGAAAAGAGAGTTTAAAAGTTTGAACAAAGGAATGATGAAAATGAATTACTGATTCAGAATACCGAGTTGTTTAAAATCCACCCAAAACTTGGGAACAGTTCAGTTGAGTCCTTTGACTAATGGACAAGAACATCAAGAAATGGCTTGACATGATGATTTTGGTGGAGGGGACAAGTAGTTTAAAAATTTCCTGCATCTTTGATTCTTTAGTACAGAAAGAAATGATTTGAGTACAGTTTTGACATTCTTTTCATGAAGTTCTTATTGGATATCACTTTGTTCAACTTATAAAATTTAACTCTACATTTTATCAGATTGTTCTATTCTTATGTGGTTGTCTATTATGATTGCTTCATACCTTTTTATGCATTATGTTTTTCCAGTAACACGAATCTGTAAAAAATTAACAGTGAAATATGAGGATTACAAAAAGAATGAAACTTTAAGCCCTTGACCTTTTATCTTTTAATCACGTTGAATGTCATAGTGTTTGAAAGTGGAACATGGTCTCTTTTTTGGGACTGACTGCATCCATTCAGCACCCACCAGGCAGCAGAATGGGTACATGTAGGCAGTTTCTCTGCTGTTTTTCTTCAGTGCCCAAGAAATATTCCGAGGATATAAATGCAGACCCCATAGTGAGAGCTATGCTTCCCATGCTGTGAGAATTGGGAGGGGTTACAGCTATCTTATTTCGTGGAAGGAGGTAGGTTTAAAGCATAATTTTCAACAAAGGGAAGAAAATGGACCCATCACAGGAATGCAGAAAATATGTGTGCGAAAGGAATTCTGCTTGTGGTGAGATTTCCTCTCATGAGCCTGACCTCTGATTTGGGCACGTGAATTAATTTTCTAAAGGCTTTAATTTTATTGTTTGTCATTGGTAGATCATGAAGTGCCTACAGTTTTCAAATGAGTACTTCTATCAAAGTCCTGAATAAGAGAACATGGGCAGTTTATGGATAAGCTCTTGCTTAAATTTTCCTTTGAGAGGAATTTGTAGTGTCCTGTCATTATGTGGATCCACTGTAATGCCTTTTTGTGCTGAATCACTTGCCAGTGAAATAAATACCTTAGCATGTTGATGTTTGCCTTCGTTAAGAGGTCAAAGAACTATGTTTACTCTTACATTTCCATTAGCTAGGTCAAAAGTTGTGTGGCTGTGAAAATCTGGAAGAATGGCAACCTTGATTTCTAACCATAATAATAGGTTAACTATGGAGCTTAGACAGCTTGGCCATTTCTACTATGGAAATAACTGTTTATTGTGTAAACTACTTAGAGTCTGGAAGGAAAAAAAAGCTCACAGACAGAGTGAGAATGGTTTGTTTCTGCCCAGTGAAAACTCAAAAAGTCCACGTTATAGCTCATCATGACCACCAACTAAATTATTCTCCAAGAGACTTAGTCATTATACAGACTTACTGTTGCATCCTATGTTTATAAACAGTCTCATTTTTTGAATCCCAAATTCAGTAAGTTTTGCAGACATATACTTCAACACATGAAAAAAAATAAACCGTTATTACCAGCCTTACCCCAAATCATAGCCATTAAGCACAGTAGCTGATTATTTAGGTTGTTTAGGTAGCTCCCCGACAGCCCACACCTCTTGCTGTTCTACCTCAGGCTTTAATCTTAGGTTGATTAAGTCATTCTAGGTCACTGACATTTACTCCATGGTCTTCTACTCTAAGGTCAAGGCAGTCTCCTCTGACCTTAGACTAGTTTTATGGTCTAGGGCAAGATAAACATTTGGCCTTTTTCATAAGTCTCCATTTGACATCCAAGTAATTATTTAATAAAATTCAGTGTAATTATTAATATTGCTAATGATAATAATTGTCTGACCTTTGAAATGGTTTTTAGAAATTGACGCAATTGTAACCTCTAGCACTAAGCTGCATTGCATTGGTTGTTTAAACAATAAACTTAAGACCATCTGGGAGAATCCGTTTCAGTGGCTTTTTGTAGGGTGTCTGATACAGGCAGTGTTTCATGGAGCTGCACTGGCTGACACTGCCCCAGATTTTTCTACTCAGTATAGACAATTTATCTAAGAAGTCAGAGTGACCCTTACTATTCATTACAGATATGCTCAAGAGAAGTTCCATTATACAAAAGAGAATGTTAAAATTTAAGTCTAATTTAAGAGAATCTCTTCATATATCTACATGCTCTTTCCAAAACCATACCCTTCCACACCCTTCACAAATTCCATTTCACAGTGGCACAGACTAACGTACATTCTTGACTATTCTTTTTCTCTCATTCCTTACTCCCAGTTCATCAGTCAGCCCTGCTGGCTATGCCTATAAAGGAGATCTAGAATTTAACTACTGCTCCCCATTCAAACTGCCACCATTTTGGCCCAAGCCAGCATCATCTCAGCGCCTGCATCCCTGTATAGAGAAACCTTCGGCTCAGAAATAGTCTCTGGATTCCAACTAATTCAGAGCAAATACTGTTCTCCATTGCTTAGGTCATCTAGTAAGATGCAAGTTCAGGAATTTTTGTGTGTGTTTGAGTCTTTTCTGTATCCCCCAATGCCTGACACATAGTGGATGCTTAATAATTATTTTTGGAATTAAAAAACAGGTGGAGATTCTAAATGAGATGAACTAAAGCTTGTTGGAAATTACATAACATTAAGTTGATAACTTATTACACTAAATTCTTAATTCCTTAAACAGGTTACTAACATCTTTGTTCATTGATTTATTCAGTAAATAATAAAACATGATTTGTCTGCTACTATAAAGATAAGAGGTAAATTATTTGGGCCTAAGTGGCACACAGACCAGTCAGGGAGATCAGTAAATTGTCATTTACCATATAGCCTGCCAGGTGCTACGGCTTAAGAGCATTTAATGCGAATGTACTGGAAGATCCCCTGGAAAAGGAAATGGCATCCCACTCCAGTATTCTTGCCTGGAGAGTTCCAGGGACAGAGGAGCCTGGTGGGCTACAGTCCACAGGGTCGCAAAAAGTTGGACACACCTGAATAACTAACACTTCATTTCATTAATAAAATGAAAGCTTTGTAGGCATCGGGGGTTCATGTGGGAAAGATTAGGGGCAACAGAGAGCATGAGCTATTTAGGAGCTGTTGTTGAGTCGCTCAGTCATGTCCAGCTCTTTTTCAACACTATGGACTGCAGCCCGCCAGGCTCCTTTGTCCATGGGATTTCCCAGGCAGAAAGACTGGAGTGGGTTGCCATTTCCTCCTCTAGGGGAATCTTTCTCACCCAGCGATCAAACCTGTACCCCCTGCATTGCAGGCAGATTCTTTACCACTGAACAATCTGGGAAGCCCGTTTAGGAATTACAGGCCATCCAAAATGGTTGTTTGTAATTGAAGGGGTTCATCTTTAGGACTGTGTAAATCAAGTCAACATAGTAGCTCCTGCTGAAATCTATGCTACTTTTGCTGCTGCTGGGAGTGTAAAAGGAGATAAGAACACAGTTTTGGTTTGCAATCTAATTTGGGAGATAAAATTTACAGTAAGGAAATAATGGAATAATAACAGAAATAGTCTTGTAGAATCAAATATTACATGGAATGATGGTTTCAGTGCTAAAAGAAGAGAAAAAGGAAAGAACATGTGGGCTAGAATGGGGAAAGCTTAATTAAAGAAGTTGAGTTTGAGTTTCTACGCTTTGAAGAAAATGTGGTTTAGATTGGTGGAGGGAATAAAAGCCTCCCAGTCTGAGATAGCTAAGCAAAGATACCAAGAGAGAATGAGCCTGACTTATTTTGAAGACAGAGAAATATTCGAGTAGACCAGAGGAATTGTTTAACCAGGTAGTGGGAAATGTTATTGACTGATTCAGATGGGAAGAATACAGTTTAATATAATTTGGTTTTTGAGAAGCTTGGACCTACTGTACTAAGAACAAAGGAATTTTTTTTTGGGGGGGGGAAGTGAGTTGATAGGCTAAAGTAACCTTAGAAGATGCATCTGTCTGGAATAGAATATGTGGAGACTGACAGTGAGGGAACAGTTAAGAGGCCTTTACTGTGATCCACAGAAGAGTCAGAGTATTGACTGGGAGAATTGGAGCTGGTGTTGAGAAATGGGATTAGGACAAAAGATTGAAATAATTAGATGCAAGAGTCAACAGGCCTTGGGGAGTAATGCAATGAAGAGAGAGGTGTCAAAATGTTGACTGTTGAAATGAATATTTAGGCAGCAGGTCAGGACAGTTCATAGGTAGTGCTAGTTGATGCTGTGAAGAAAAAGAAGTTTTAAAAAATGGTCAATTAAAATAAATAAATTGATTTTTTTTTAATGGTCGAAATTTTATACATGTTGTTGTATTAGGAAGCTTCATTTTAGTTGTTTTCCTTCCTCAATTTTTATTTGTTGGTTTATTCTTTAATTCAGAGAGACTAGAAAGACAGGGTAAACAGGCTCCCTTCTGGAGCTCTTGGCTTTGAGGAAACCCCAAATCAGTCAGTGCGCTGAAGACCAAGACCATTATCAGTGGTGATAAGTGCTCCATAAGAAGTTCATGTGCGTGATGGAGAGTCGATAGTGGAACCAGAGCAAGGAGTAGGAGGTGCTCTAGAGCAGACTGATTCAAGAGCTCTCGGAGCAGGTAACAGTTAAGCTGAAGCTTAAAGGATGAAACAAAATCAGCCAGGGAATCAACGTATGTGCATATGTGCTCAGTCGTGTCCAACTCTTTGCAACCCCATGGACTGTAACCCAGCAAGCTCTTCTGTCCATGGGATTTCCCAGGCAAGAACACTGGAGTGGGTTACCATCTCCTTCTCCAGGCGGATCTTCTCGACCCAGGGCACGAACCCATACCTCCTGCAAGTGGCAAGCCTTGGCAGGTGGATTCTTTGCCACTGAGCTG